TAAACTTTACACACAATGTGATATACCTAACTCCCTTTTCGGTGTAGATTATTTAAACAATTTTCCAGTATATAAAGAGCTGTAAAACAGCAGACAAGTACCGGTCTACAATCTATCGCTTTATTCTTTTTCGAAGCAACAGGCGCCATTCAGTAATTCACTCACATGGCATGATTGGCACAAGCGTCACGCAAGCACATCACGGATGGCACGCGCAAAACATTAGGCGTTTCCAGTCCCTGTCTTCTGGATTGTCTATGGTATGATACAACTGTTTATTTGTATGTTGGCATCTGTGTATGATACAACTGTTTATGTGTATGTTGGTGTCTGTGCATGATACAACTGTTTATGTGTATGTTGGCGTCTGTGCATGATACAACTGTTTATGTGTATGTTGGCGTCTGTGTATGATACAACTGTTTATGTGTATGTTGGCGTCTGTGTATGATACAACTGTTTATGTGTATGTTGGCGTCTGTGCATGATACAACTGTTTATGTGTATGTTGGCGTCTGTGTATGATACAACTGTTTATGTGTATGTTGGCGTCTGTGCATGATACAACTGTTTATGTGTATGTTGGCATCTGTGTATGATACAACTGTTTATGTGTATGTTGGCGTCTGTGTATGATACAACTGTTTATGTGTATGTTGGCGTCTGTGTATGATACAACTGTTTATGTGTATGTTGGCGTCTGTGTATGATACAACTGTTTATGTGTATGTTGGCATCTGTGTATGATACAACTGTTTATGTGTATGTTGGCGTCTGTGTATGATACAACTGTTTATGTGTATGTTGGCATCTGTGTATGATACAACTGTTTATGTGTATGTTGGCATCTGTGTATGATACAACTGTTTATGTGTATGTTGGTGTCTGTGCATGATACAACTGTTTATGTGTATGTTGGCGTCTGTGCATGATACAACTGTTTATGTGTATGTTGGCGTCTGTGTATGATACAACTGTTTATGTGTATGTTGGCGTCTGTGCATGATACAACTGTTTATGTGTATGTTGGCGTCTGTGTATGATACAACTGTTTATGTGTATGTTGTTGTCTGTGCATGATACAACTGTTTATGTGTATGTTGGTGTCTGTGCATGATACAACTGTTTATGTGTATGTTGGCGTCTGTGCATGATACAACTGTTTATGTGTATGTTGGCGTCTGTGTATGATACAACTGTTTATGTGTATGTTGGCGTCTGTGTATGATACAACTGTTTATGTGTATGTTGGCGTCTGTGCATGATACAACTGTTTATGTGTATGTTGGCGTCTGTGTATGATACAACTGTTTATGTGTATGTTGGCGTCTGTGTATGATACAACTGTTTATGTGTATGTTGTTGTCTGTGCATGATACAACTCTTTATGTGTATGTTGGCATCTGTGTATGATACAACTGTTTATGTGTATGTTGGCGTCTGTGTATGATACAACTGTTTATGTGTATGTTGGCATCTGTGTATGATACAACTGTTTATGTGTATGTTGGCGTATGTGTATGATACAACTGTTTATGTGTATGTTGGCATCTGTGTATGATACAACTGTTTATGTGTATGTTGGCATCTGTGCATGATACAACTGTTTATGTGTATGTTGGTGTCTGTGCATGATACAACTGTTTATGTGTATGTTGGCGTCTGTATGATACAACTGTTTATGTGTATGTTGGCGTCTGTATGATACAACTGTTTATGTGTATGTTGGCGTCTGTGTATGATACAACTGTTTATGTGTATGTTGGTGTCTGTGCATGATACAACTGTTTATGTGTATGTTGGCGTCTGTATGATACAACTGTTTATGTGTATGTTGGCGTCTGTGTATGATACAACTGTTTATGTGTATGTTGGCATCTGTGTATGATACAACTGTTTATGTGTATGTTGGCGTCTGTGCATGATACAACTGTTTATGTGTATGTTGGCATCTGTGTATGATACAACTGTTTATGTGTATGTTGGTGTCTGTGTATGATACAACTGTTTATGTGTATGTTGGCGTCTGTGCATGATACAACTGTTTATGTGTATGTTGGCGTCTGTGTATGATACAACTGTTTATGTGTATGTTGGCATCTGTGTATGATACAACTGTTTATGTGTATGTTGGCGTCTGTGTATGATACAACTGTTTATGTGTATGTTGGCATCTGTGTATGATACAACTGTTTATGTGTATGTTGGCATCTGTGTATGATACAACTGTTTATGTGTATGTTGGCGTCTGTGTATGATACAACTGTTTATGTGTATGTTGGCGTCTGTGTATGATACAACTGTTTATGTGTATGTTGGCGTCTGTGTATGATACAACTGTTTATGTGTATGTTGTTGTCTGTGCATGATACAACTGTTTATGTGTATGTTGGTGTCTGTGCATGATACAACTGTTTATGTGTATGTTGGCGTCTGTGTATGATACAACTGTTTATGTGTATGTTGTTGTCTGTGTATGATACAACTGTTTATGTGTATGTTGGCGTCTGTGTATGATACAACTGTTTATGTGTATGTTGGCGTCTGTGTATGATACAACTGTTTATGTGTATGTTGGCATCTGTGTATGATACAACTGTTTATGTGTATGTTGGCGTCTGTGCATGATACAACTGTTTATGTGTATGTTGGCGTCTGTGTATGATACAACTGTTTATGTGTATGTTGGCGTCTGTGTATGATACAACTGTTTATGTGTATGTTGTTGTCTGTGCATGATACAACTCTTTATGTGTATGTTGGCATCTGTGTATGATACAACTGTTTATGTGTATGTTGGCGTCTGTGTATGATACAACTGTTTATGTGTATGTTGGCATCTGTGTATGATACAACTGTTTATGTGTATGTTGGCGTCTGTGCATGATACAACTGTTTATGTGTATGTTGGCATCTGTGTATGATACAACTGTTTATGTGTATGTTGGCGTCTGTGTATGATACAACTGTTTATGTGTATGTTGGCGTCTGTGTATGATACAACTGTTTATGTGTATGTTGGCGTCTGTGTATGATACAACTGTTTATGTGTATGTTGTTGTCTGTGCATGATACAACTGTTTATGTGTATGTTGGTGTCTGTGCATGATACAACTGTTTATGTGTATGTTGGCATCTGTGTATGATACAACTGTTTATGTGTATGTTGTTGTCTGTGTATGATACAACTGTTTATGTGTATGTTGGCGTCTGTGTATGATACAACTGTTTATGTGTATGTTGGCGTCTGTGTATGATACAACTGTTTATGTGTATGTTGGCGTCTGTGTATGATACAACTGTTTATGTGTATGTTGGCATCTGTGTATGATACAACTGTTTATGTGTATGTTGTTGTCTGTGCATGATACAACTGTTTATGTGTATGTTGGCATCTGTGCATGATACAACTGTTTATGTGTATGTTGGCGTCTGTGTATGATACAACTGTTTATGTGTATGTTGGCGTCTGTGCATGATACAACTGTTTATGTGTATGTTGGCGTCTGTGTATGATACAACTGTTTATGTGTATGTTGGCGTCTGTGCATGATACAACTGTTTATGTGTATGTTGGCATCTGTGTATGATACAACTGTTTATGTGTATGTTGGCGTATGTGTATGATACAACTGTGTATGTGTATGTTGGCGCCTGTGCATGATACAACTGTTTAAGTGTATGTTGGCGTCTGTGCATGATACAACTGTTTATGTGTATGTTGGCATCTGTATGATACAACTGTTTATGTGTATGTTGGCGTCTGTGTATGATACAACTGTTTATGTGTATGTTGGCGTCTGTGCATGATACAACTATACCTGAAAAATAGAACAAACTGCGACGTTTCGAACAACGGCCCTTCGTCACAGAGGAGAGACATACAGAGTTGTAACTAGCGTACCCACTTTTTTGTGCACATTCTCGGCAAGTTACAAGATGCATGCATCTGATTGGATGACGACCTGATGACGACTCACTTTAAACTTGCTGAGCACGCGCAGTTGACCATTTTTTCCCGGCCGCCTGAAAAAAAGTTGGTACATGAAAACGTAAGCTTCCGCAGTGTTTACAACGGCTCTGTATGTCTCTACTCTGTGCCTTCGTTTTCTTTAGCCAGGAAGGGCCTTCGCTTGAAACTTGTAGTTTTCAAGTAGTTGCATCATACACAGACACAGCAAATTGTACTCTTTGCTACATACATTGGCACCTAACATTCAAGTAACCATTTCCTACACTTTTAAATGTCGTGCATTATTGAATTGTCATATACTGTATACTGCAAATATTCAGTGTCTACTTTTGTGGGGTTTTAAACTACTATACTGTAGTATTGTAAATGCTGGGCACTTTGTATTAAGGCTGTAAAATATAGCGGACCTCAGGAGCATTGATTCCAGAACATTTTTGAGGTTGTCAGAAAAAAATGTATAATCGATATAATCGTAAAAGGGGTGTATGTTACAATTTTTAGTGATATTTTTACTTTACTTAGTTTACTATACATCATATAGACAAAAATACATATTAGGGTTAATTTATAACATATAAAAGAATATTTATTCAGTAGCCATGTTGGATTCGATGATTTCATGAACATGCATGCGTATGACCAAGGCTCATTAAATAATGAGGTTTTGTCCCTGCGAACAAAATTCGTCACTTCGAAATAAGCTATTGTTAAAAAGTCTAAATTTTAAAATGTACCTGTACAGATCAAGTGGTGTCTGGTCTGCAAGCGACTCTTACACCCGCATTTAATGACCCATGTGTATGACAGGGACCATAATGCTTGCTTATCAACCTTGTTCCAGTGCTCATCTCTCTTGTGGAATAATAATAGATTTTATTTACCACCTTTGCCAAAAGAATTACACTGATATTACAAATTTAAAAAGTATTAAAAATTTACAACAATATTTAAGATATATAAGACTTCATCGACTATAATGTACATTTTACTGGTGTGAGAGAGAACTATTATCTATATATACAAGTAGGACTATTTTAGTTAACTATGGATTCTGAAAGATGTTTATTAATAATTATAGTGTCAAATGTGTTGTTGTATTTCAGGAACTTGAGAACTTATTGGATGTTGTTCATCAAACACACAAGTTGTTATCAAACTACATGACTCTTATTCCATTTGACGCCATGTTGAAGGAAGTGAACCATTGTGTTTCTGCTCCTTATGGTAGAACGACACTTCATGTTTTCTGGGAATTAAACTTTGATTTTCTTCCTAACTATTGTTATAACTCGGCCACTAACAGGTAAGTCGCATATTTAGTAGTCTTATATATACTGTATACTATAACTGGAGTATTTAAATGGCATAATTATAATACACTACTTTATTCGCTGCGTGTTTCTCGTTACATATATACAATCACAACTTCAGTATTCGGTTCATTCACTTCCTTTACCATGATACTTTGCATGCAGCATTTCTTTTATTCTACAATTTTTTATTCTTGCAGTTGTATTCAATGAACTCTATAAGCGGAGCCGTAAACTGTGGGGATGGGGGCGCGGGTTATCTTTTCATCTAAGTATAAAAGTAGAATTTGGAAGTCAATTTCTTTTTAGTGTTTAATACTAGTATCACGTTTTGTGTCATTGGAAATTCTGAAAATTCTAAACCAAAATAGAGGAGGTTTAATACATATTTAATGTCGCATATCATTCTGCAAAAATCTGTAAAATATGTTTTATTTTCAGGTTTGTTAAGACGCCATTATCATTTGTAGAAGAAGTTCAGCGAGAAAATCCTCCCAAGGCTGCACATCATTATTTCTTTGGTACCAAGGTAGGGCAATGTGGTCTGTGCAAACGATCAAACATGAGTTTTGTTAAATAACAGGATTCATGAAGACTTTCTAAAATGCTAGGTTTTTCCATTCCAGCTTCTTACCTTTTGTTTATTTAAATTATTATGGGAGTAAGTAAACTATGTGAAGTTTTTGGGGTTATATTTTTGGGTTTGGGAATATGTCGCTCCCATTAACATAAATATATAAAATGCATGAAAATAAATGACATTTAACATAGATTAAAATAATTGACGAATTAGGTTCGGCGCATGCATGAGAAGAGCAACGTTTGAAATGCTGTCGCTCCAGAGTCGCATAGTACGACAAGACCTGTTGCTCCAATTATAACGTCGTTCCAAATGCCTCTGTCGCAATTAATCCATTCTGTTGAACTTAACCTAAACAAACGTCGCTCTTAGGTTCGACTCATAAGAAGAACGACGTTTTACCCAGACCTGCCATAGTATGAAATAGATTGCCTTTTGTCTACCTCGTTTTAAACCACATTATACCAGCTTTGAAATCTACTCTTCTTCGTGGCGGTGCTCATCATTTCTCAATTTCCTTGCATGAATAGCAATTAACTCTCAAATGCATGGTTGTGATTGGTAAACGCATTAGTACATGTAACCCTTACCCTTAAACTATTTCTATTTCAGGCTCAGAACGCTGCGTTTAACAGTATCAATGCATTGTATAATAATTTCGTTGGTCCTGCACATTTTGAATCAATGACTCGACTTCTTGGTTACCAAGGTATAGCTGTCGTGATTGAGGAGTTACTCAAGGTCATCAAAAGTTTGGTGAGTTTATAAACATCTTGAGACAGTGTAAAATATTTTCATACTGCGACACTGCAGACAACAACAAAAAAAATGTTGTCTCGGGCGGGACTCGCATCTTCGGTTTCCACCAGTCCACATCACTGATCTAATAGTCTACTATTATAGATCAGTGGTCTCGGCTCTATTATCTCTGAGGACGAATGTGTAATAGACTGCACGTCCAAAGACTAACGTTATTATAAGTTGCCACATTGTTTTTTTCGTGGACTTAAAACATGTACAAAAACATAACATGTACAAAAACATTACAGACTCGAAGATGCGAGTCCGAGACATCGAATGTTTCGTTCTCCGCTGTAGGTTTTTTTCTTAAATCTGATATGATCTTTTTAAAATATACTTTGAATATACTTTGTCTTCATTCTTACTTCATTCTACCCGGTGTAGGTGCAAGGTCAATTGAAACAATACATTGTTGAATTAATACAAGGTTTGCCCAAGAAATGTGGCTTACCAAGATATGAATACGGCTCTAAAGGTGAGATATTAGTCACATTAACAATGGCTTTCAACATGTTCTATTTAATCATTTCATGGAATACTATCATAGTTGTTTCGGGAAGTATGCGCACTTCAAAACACTTAACGATAGTCGAGGCGTTGTCCTTCGGTTCTGAAGTAACGTAACTGCTTTCTTTAATGTCGTTTTGTATTGGCCAGTCTGTAGATGGTATAGAAATAACTTTTATGGTATAGAAATAACTTATATGACACGAAACTGTGTTCATAGGTCCAGATTTAACTATAAAACCATATGTGTCGCAACTATATGACATGTCAAATAGTTTATATCGTATATCACTGTTGCAGCCAGATAAACAGTTTAATTTATACTCGCGTATTTATTGTGTATTAGATGCAGTAATGATCACAATGTGACAATACGAGATAAAGGAAATAGATGCAACCTTATTATATACATAGTAAAAACAATGGTCTTTCATTATACTAAACTTTGTATAAGGTATAACAGATCAAGTGAATTCTTTTCCTTCGTTCAGCTGTATTGGAATACTACCACGCCCATCTTGAACCTCTGGTACAGTACAGTTACTTAAGAACTGATGTCTTCCAAGCATTCCGGGAAATTGGAAATGGGGTTTTGTTTATCATTTTAATTGAACAGAGTATGGTAAGTTGAATTTCTCAGATTTTTTACACAATCTTGTAGGCCACTTGGTGTTCAACTATACAACTTTGTGTGCATAGCTATCGCCTGCGTAGCTGGCAGCTTCACGGGATTTGGAATTGAGGCGCAATCGGGCGTCGTGTTTCCACACAATTTCTCGTTTTCCCAATTTCCACTCGTGTTGATATAACTGTATATCAACACGGAAAATGTTTTATATTTGTTAAATATCATATCAATGTACAGAAAGTAGACTTGAAAGAAATCTAGAAATCCGTTTACGTCATCATATATTAGTGTCACTGTGCTGTCAAAGTAATGTGATTTCTGTTATATATAATTATGTGAAATATCATTTTGGTTAGTCAAATTAACCATACTTTATTATTAGTTAGTTATAATGTATTAGTATTAGTCATACGACCACATCAGCTATATGCTGTAATATTATGATCGTGTTTAAATAAATGCTTTTATTATTATGAACAGGGGTATGAATTGTGGAGCAACGGGCCTAAACAGATGATAGCTTATTCATTTTATGTCCATGTGAAACATCGTTTCCATTTATCCCTATCTCTACAGTTATTTCGATAACAAGATTTTATTCCTCATATTTTAGTCGATTGATGAAGTTCTTGATTTACTGCAAGCTGCTCCTTTCCAGGGTATTATACCAAGACCATATCTTCAAGGTATGATTAGATTATGACCTGTTTAGAGTGTTCACTGACAGCTGACAATAATGTTTTGTCATGATCGGTTTGTTGTACGATTGAGACTGTAGCAAGAGGGATTTACCTGTCATTGGTAAAGTGCTTATCGAAGCATGAAGAATGTTACTAAGGCGACCTCATAACAGAAATCATGCAAAATAACACTGCGCTCAACCTTAAACCTACGTTACGTACCGGCAAAACCGCTGGTCAGCAACCAGTCTCTGAATTGATTAAAATGAATCACATTTCAGATAAATTGATGTTTTTAGGACTACCTCACTGGCACTTCAATTATTTTTGCCACGTACTTGAGCTGTTACAAACCGAAGACTCGAGGTGTACTTAATTTTTTAGATACAGCACATAAAGTACAATATTCTAAAACACATTCATTCAGACATTCAGTAACCTGAAACTACGAGTGAGATCAAGAAAGAGCACTATTACAGTACAAACACAATACATACAGTTGACTCCAATATTCTTTTGTCCCATCAGTCCAATCATGCTTCATGTCAAGACAGTCAGAGTTAAACATATAGCTACAGTACTTAATTACGGTTTTGAATACCTTGGAAAGTTTGCTGGTCATATGGTATACCAGCAAAACGCGAGTATACATGGTCATATGGTATACCAGCAAAACGAGAGTATACATAGTCATATGGTATACCAGCAAAACGAGAGTTCCACGTATACCTACGTGGTACGTGGCAGAAAACAAAGAAGTATACCAGATCGTAATATTGCCGTACCTCCGGCAATGCGAATTATCGCACACTACATTCAATCTTGCGAAACTAATTAATAATTCATGATGAAAACACAAAAGAAATCATGAGCGTGAAAGGGTTTATATATCTGATACAGAAATCATGCTGATTTACATAAACTTGAAGTTCAATTTTCTCACAAATTTCATTTATTTTAATTTGTTGAAGAATACGAATGTTCTCATCAAGACGTTTCACAACGGCCGCTCACACGGCCGCTCATGTTGTAAATAGTACATTTAATGTTGAAGTTAATAGAATGCTATTATTTGTAATTCAGAGGGTGAGAAGTTAGAAAGTAAGATGAAGAAACTTGAACAGCAATATGCTCCATTCCAAGTTGTTTCTTTAATATCAAGATTCGGCACTAAAGAAGTAAGTACACTACAAATGAGGGAATACAGTGTTGGGTATATTCTACAACAAGCTGCCATGGTTTGTGTCTGAACTACCTGAAAAGATTTCTCAAACGTGGTGGTCCAGTGTAGGCAGGATTCGACAATAAGCTGTTGTGATGTGTGTCTGAACTACACATGTAAAAACACACAAGTTGTTACAGGTCTGCAAACAAGTTGTTACAAATCTGTTCACAGGCTGTCGACAAGTTGTGTTCGCACTGCTTGTTCCCAGTTGTTAGTTTGTAACAAGCTGTTATCAGCTTGATAGCATTATCAAACTTATTACAAAGTTGTTCTGACAAGTCTGATACAGTCATTATATAACAAAAATGTTGCAAGGTTGACGACACAAGGTTGTAACAATATTGTTGTATCGGACTTGTTGGGATAACCTTGCAACAAGTCTGATAATATTAACAAGGTTGTTGACAAGCAGTGCGAACACAACGTGTTGTTGTTGGCAGACTTTCTACAAGATGTGAGATTTGTACACGTGTACCTGAAACGATATCTCAAACCTTGGTGGTCTAGTGGAGGTAGTTTATTGTTTAATTTTGTTTATTATTCTGCAGCAACTGAATATAGCTCATGAAGGTGAGCTTCTTACTAAAGAAAGATTATGTTGTGGTTTATCTCTGGTTGAAGTCATGTTAAAGAGAGTTCAATCATTTCTTCATGATGAAGTATGGCAGACATCTGTACCTCTGAATGGAGTGATGACAGTCGAGGAATGTAAAGATTTCCATTCTTTGTGGAGTGCTATATTATTCATTATCTGTCAACCTATTGGACAGAATGAAATTTCTGTTGAGTAAGTTCAATTATCGTTTATGATAGTAGTTTTTAACAACGTTCTGTTATTGGTATGAATTTTGAAACCTACTTGCAGAAGGAATTGAAACGTGTAAAGTCCTTTAATTACATGACCAAATATGTCTGTCAAATTTTCTGTGGTTATAATAATGAAAAAAAAAAGTTGTAAAGTTTCTCGCCCATATTGGAAAAAAAGGGTGTCTTTGAACGTTCGTAAAAAAATTAGCCTTGTGAAAAACTTTTAAAGGACATTGTCAATAAAAAATTAGTTTGTCTCATTCAAAAGAACTCTTAAAATTATATGTTAAACTCTATTACCGATTTGTCATATCTTGTTTAGTTCTCGAAATATTTAGACCGAAATTAATGAGCTGTCCGCCATCTTGGACTAATTCTTGACCTCATTAACTATGGTTTTGATGACGTCAGGAGTTGGGTTAACCATATAAAACTACTCTAAAATGACCGAGTAACAATCCAAAATTGTTTGAAATGTTTTTAATCATTTCTAAATTTGAGACAGCAACCAGAAACGAACTTTTGGACCCATATTGATCGCTTACTCTCAAGATAAAAAATTAGCGTGACTTTTTTCAGTCGAAATATTTTGAAAACTAAGCAAGATATAAACAATCTGTAATAGAGTTTAATACGCAGTTTTAAGACTTCTTTCAAATGAACTAAACAATTTTTTTATTGCCAATGTCCTTTAAGCACTGTAATATTTTGAAGCATTTGAATTTAACCACTTATTGTTGAAGCAGCACAGACTACAAACCGAGACAAGTTGTTTGTACACGTCATTACATAGCAAGTAGGGGTGGGTGGCGGAGTCCCAGTCCCATCCTTGCCCAATTTTCGACCCCTTCCTACCCCCAGTAGAATCCCTGTACGACAATGGTGAGCAGTATACATTACATACTAACTGAATATCTCGCTCGTCAAGTGGAACATCTAATATTGAAATACGTTCATTTTCCAGGCAATTGTTTGGTGAAGGCCTATATTGGGCTGGTTGTGCGTTCGTGGTATTGCTGAATCAGCAAAAGAGATTTGAAGCTTTAGATTTCTGTTCACATATTGTCAAAGTTTATGATGTCGATCCTAGAGATGAGACTGTTGGCGGAGTGGTGAGTTTTCTCGAGATTTTTCACATTTTCCAGTGGGTTTTATTGATACAAGAAATTGTATGTGCCTCACGCCCGGAATTTGGGCTCTACATTGAGCAGTTTTCCTGATGAAATCATCACATTGGAGAAGAGTTATATCCCAGTTTCCTCCTGTAGTAACACTTACAAATCATTGATCAGGATATCTTACTATTGCCAACAGTTTAGTCATATCTTCCTTTCGTGTTTTTAGAGTCTGAAACGTCTTGTGGAGAAAGCAAGGAATGTGAAAGTTCTCAATCAACAAATATTTTCCTCACTAAATAAATATTTAAAATCAACTGAAGGGTCCTTGGAACAAGTTCGATGTTTTCAACCGCCTATACATCAACCTTACGTCTCGTCTATTTAAATACAGTCTTATTGGACCGTGGAAAAACTGTATTTAAACTCATCGTCCATAGTTTTAAAAATAAACGTGATCAGATAACAAATCAATAATAAGCTAGAACTAGTACATAGTACATGTATTATCTCCATAGCTTAGAACATAATAATCATTTATAAAATAACAATAGTATCACGCAAGTCGATTCATCAAAACACGTAAACATGCATATAAAGAGGATTTCTATTCATTGGAAAATCTCGCATGATCGATTCACCATCACTCTCTTTTGAATTGTCAGCTGTCAGGCCAAACGTATTTCATGTAATGTTGAAAGAAAAGAAATAAAGGCGACCGAAAAGAATAGTAATCTGCCTTCTGGATTATTAAGCTATCCAAACATTTACATTTCCCACCAAACAATACACCATTCCGGAAAGTACGTCACTTTGGCTATAGAGCCTCATTTTCGTGTACGCGAAAACGAGGCTCCATGACCAAGATCACGTGCTTGCCGGAAGCGAGTATTTTAGAAGAACACGACAAATTCAGTTAACAGGAAGCTAAAATGAGCATATTTCGTGATAGACTTCCTTTTATTAGTCACAGAAGATGTTTCTGTAGCTTCGTGGTAAAGCATCGTACCAGAGTGGTTTTTATGCTGTGTCATCTCACAAACAAGTTTTCACTTCCTTGAAATAGAATTTTCATAACGTCTTTGATCAATGTGTTTCAAAGATCTATGCGACATAAACTGTATTTTTCAAAGGAACTTTGAAAGTGGAATCAGTCTTATATAATTAGTCTTATATCTATATGGGGTATATTTTAAAATGATGTAAGATTCACTCTAAATATTAATTAATCTTGATAAATTGTGTAATAAATCTGTAGAGTTGTAGTCGTAATATTTCTATAACGCTGACCGTCATAGAAGTAACTGTAATACCCATTAGAAATCAATTATTTTTGCTATGAATTATGAATAAATAAATATTGAATTCTGTGCTGTGTTTATGTAGTTTTTCGAAATACACTCTTTCGATAGGCAATAGAACTTTTCCCGGTTTTCAAAAAACTGGGTAACAAAACATTTCGCGCGATTTTTGTACCTTTCATGTCATCATGTTGGGAATGTTACAAAGATATTAAAGGGCTAAATTTCCCACGAAAATAAGGGCCGTTCATAGGAGGCAGGGTGCGATAATT